TTCTAAGAAATTCTCTTCCATTTGGACACCTTGAACTAACTGTTAGTTTTTTGAAAGATGTGGATTATTGACTTAAAAGTGTGATATCAATTAGAATTTTGGAGTGGCATCAGTATCTTACATGAGATGCCACTTGGAAACAGACCTCTAGACCTTCTAGAGCTAGATGGGACTAGAGATCATCTCAATTTATAGTTATATTTTGACTTAGAAAGTAGCAAATAAAGAATCCATACTCTTCAGTAGCTTGCTATTGTTTTTAGGTGAAGTCAACATCATTACCATGACCTTCAGGGTCACATTTGATTTAGTGCCTATCAACCTCTCTAGCCATCTCTTCTCCTCTCCCCTTCTTGTGCACTTTAGTGCAGTCACATTGAGCTCACTGTTCCTCAAAATACTAAGACCATTCCTGCCACTGTCTTCACACACACTGCTTCCTCTGCTGTAAGGGCTCCTCCTCTACCTCCGCCAACAACATATAGCCAATTCCTATTCATTCTTTAGGGCTCGCTTGATGTTTACTTCCTCAGAGATGTTTCTCCAGGTACACCCCATCCTTCCCAGAACTAACCAGCTCTCTCCTATATTTTATCACCACTTTTCCTTCATAGTACTTACTAGTTTTCATTATAGAGGTGGCTGTGCTTTTGCTGTATTGGTGAATATCAAATTCCCTCTCTACAGTGTAATTTCTGTTATAGCAAGGAATAACACATTTTAAACAGGTAAATTCTGTGGTATTTAAATCATATCTGAATAAACTTGTTATTTTAAAAAGTAAAACTTCTTTGAACTACCTCACTCTTAGATTACATTGCTAGCCAAAGTGTCCAACATAAAGTCACCCATAGCTCTCAGCATGAAATCTCTTTACTCACCCAAAAGTCTGTAGTACTGTATACCTCGCAAATATCATTAAACTAGAGTGTTCAACTTGGCCACTGTGCCAGATCAATATTATATAACTCTCCAGCAACAATGAAAGAAAAAAAATAACATAGGCAAAAGGACAGTAAGAACCATGCAAAAGTAAGGCTTGGGAGTTACTTAAGAGCAGTACTATTTCCCATTAAATGATAGTTGCAAGGCACATATCAGAGGATATTAGGAGTGTTCAAGAAATATTCATCAACTATAGAAGAACTGTGAAATTTCATGTTATTGGAAGAATATAACTGACTCACAAACAGCAAGCATCTGGTAAGAAAGTAGGCCAAGGGGAAAATTATGAATGTCAGTTAAGAAAATAGAGTGCAGAGACTGTTAGCCTCTAGAAAGGAAATTCTATTTCTTAGTGTGTTTTTCCTTTATTTGCATGTGTGTTTCCAAAAAACAAAAATATAAAAAAGAATCTACTAGAATGCAGAAGATTCCCAAATCAGGATTATTGTTGGGTTATTGGTTTTAAGCATATAGCCCAAACCAATTTTTAACATGTAAAATCAGGGGAAAGAACTGACAATGTTTCAGACCAAAATGCCTAAAAGGATATTAAAGAAATCTCATGAGCCTCTCTGGTGACACAGGAGTTAAAGTCTCGGTGCTATCAAACTATAGCCAGACTGTGCAGCATGACTTCAATTCCTGGCCAGGGAGCTAACCCACATGGCATCTCCTGTCTCAACAACTGTTCCTCTCTCAACTGTTCATTTCAGTCATTCTGCTGGTTCTGCTCTTCATTCTATACTCTGGCCTATACCCAAGCTCTTCTATGTATAAATTTAAAAAAAAAAATCTTAAGAAAAACAACTTCCCAGATATTTACAGAATTTTATTTTTTACTAAAGAAGGAATTTAATAAACAGGCAAAAAGTAAATAAATAAATAACTGCATTCTAGGAAGGCAAAGTATTTAGTACAAGAACAGACATGTTAATCATTTGAAATTGCAGGAAAACTGAAATCAAATTCTATCAGTGTGAAGAACCACAGGAATGATTGTGAAGAAGCAAATAGAAAAATACATGGGATCACTTTTTGAAGGTGAGTTTCAATAAAATTTCTTTCTTGGTCCCAAGAATAACCTCTAAAGGGAAAACTTTGCCATTTCCTTGAATAACTGTTAACAATCTCTAAGTTTTATACTAACATTCAATAGTTAACCATTGGTGTTTTTTTCTACTAACTTTTAAAACAAGGCAATAATCCTTTGCTCAATTTAAACCCATGGAAACTTTGGCTGCTTTATTTGGATTGAAGGACTGGCAAAATTCCACTCCAGGTGGCTAACAAGTAATAAACAAGGGCTCACTGTTTAATCACATCCTCAACCCATTCTGTTAAGTTTTTCTCCAAATAGTGGCTTTTTAAATGCTACTATAGTTTCTATCCCAGTTAAGAAAGTATAAAATACCTAAATACTAAAACAAAGAACATTTTAAAACTTAAAATTCAATATACCTGAAGAAAGCTACACTAAGGAGAACAAAATGAATGGATTATTAGGGTAGAGCAGTTGAAAACATTAAGTCATGTTTCTCTACCCACCAGCCCAGCCCATACAAATTCTAGCTATGAAGATGCAATGTCCAGACTTTTAAGACTTTCCCAGTATGTTCTATAGTATTTAATAAGTTATACTTCTTATTAGCTTTACTTTCTAAGACTGAACACACACACACAGTCATCAAAAATTTGCTGAATAAAGATATATCTATTTATAATTATAATACACAAACAAGCTACCTCATCAATGAACAACAGTTGAAAATAAAAACTCCAGGAAATGAGTGTCATCATATTGTGAAGTCTGAAACTTCACACATCAGCTTATATACAGGTTGAGGAAATCTTTATATTGAGCTATAAGTTTTACACTATAAAATTACCCCTTAAGCTGTAAACTCAGTAATTTTTAGAATAGTCATAAGATTTTTCATCTATCTAATAACAGACCATTTTCCCAAAAACAAACTGCAAACCCATTAGCAGTCACTCAGTATTCACTAACTGCCCTCAGTTTTTGGCAACCAACAATCTCCTTTGTAGGCTATGCTTGTCTATTTTGGAAATTTCATAAAAATTATACAATATGTGGCCCTCCCTGGTGGCGCAGCGGGTTAAAGCACAGCACTGAGAATCTGAAGCCACTTCCTCATGAGTTCGATTCCCGCCTGCAGCCTGCCCGGGAGGAGACCACATGGCGAGCCAGACCTCTCCTGGCCCGCCCACTGCT